GAGATGGCTCAGAGGTTCAGAGCACTGACTGCTCCTCCAGAGGTCCTGAGTTCAATTCCCAGCAACCACATGGTGGCTCACAACCATCTGTAATGAGATCTGGTGCTCTCTTCTGGCCTGCAGACATACATGCAGCAGAACATTGTATACATAACAAATAAATAAATCTTAAAAAAAATCTGTAATAAGTACACCCAAGAAAATATGTTAATTGTAGTTCTGAGACGCTATTATATAACTGGCCTCAAATTTGTTCTACAGCCGGTTTTGACCTTGGTCCAGTCTAGGCTTTACAAATGCTGTGATTCCGGGCTTGGCAAGTCCACTGTGTGTCTTTGTTGATGGTTTTGGGTATGACCAAGAAGGTTACTGTCATCAATCAGCCCTCACAGGGAGAGGAACCAGGCTTGCACCCAGTGTGAGAATGCTACACTGCTCCTCACCAGAGTGGCGTGGAGACAGCTCCTAGCAACTCAAGGAGCATCCAACTGACGCCCTGCCGGGAGAAGCGCCCCACCGCGGAGCACCCTGGGAAATGTAGTTCTTCCCGATACCTCTTGTGGTTCGACCCGCAAGTGAGCGGGGCGCGGACTACAGTTCCTAGAATGCTTCACGCCGCCTTCGATTTGAGGCCGGAGGCGGCGAGGTGGGAATGTCGCTGGCGCAGAGGTGGTAGGCCTGGCGGAAACGGGCGGACTGAGTGGAGTCGGAATCCGGGACTCTGGTTGGGCTGGGTTTCCGTGGCCGTATTTCTGAAAGGACGACTCGTAAGAGGGTCCTCAGGAACTAGGAGAAGCACGGGATGGGCGCGCGGGGCATGGAACATTGAGGGGCACCGTGCCTGGCCTGGCGCGACCCTCCCGGACCCGCTGTGGCCGAGGGGCGGGCTCGCGGTCTTTCAAATGTCTTCTCGGAGTTGGTTGACTAGGTGTGAAGACTCGACGTTATTCTAGGACCCTTCGGCCCTTACAAGCCGCTCCTAGAAAATGTCCCACCACCTGGGAAGCTGCGACGGGCTGCTTAGGAGATAGAAATTCTCGATGTGATACGAGCCAAAACGCGTTTGGACTTGTAGGTCGCCAAAGTTGCCATTGCACGGGAGAAACACAAGCATTCCCCGGTGCCCACAACCCCAGATACACTTTGCATTTTAATAAGAGGCTAGGCACACCGGGAAGCCAGATGAGCACCACGGCCGCCTTTCTTCCTAGGCACGTGAAGGTGGGTTTGGGGGAAGGAAGAGGGGAGAAAGGGAGGGAGGAAATGCTAGAAACATCTGTTTCCAGGGTGAAATGTTTGCCATCTGAAGGGAGAAACCAGAGCTCACTCTAACGCTTTCTGCTGGATGCTGCCTATGAATGGTCGGTCGGCAGAGTTGGTAAAAGGGGCCAAGATGCGGTACCATTCCCACATGGTTCTTTGCGACTTCAGCATCCTCTTCCAGGGTAAAGGATGTGCACTGCCTTATCCAAGTACTCTCCAAGCCAAGGAAAACCCAATAAGTAGATAGGGAATTCTCATATTCTCTCATTCTCGTGTATTCTCTCATATATTCATTCTCTCTCTCTCTCTCTCTCTCTCTCTCTCTCTCTCTCTCTCTCTCTCTCTCTCTCTTAGGGAATTCTCATATTCTCTCATTCTCGTGTATTCTCTCATATATTCATTCTCTCTCTCTCTCTCTCTCTCTCT